ATTGTAGCATTACTCACGATAGCCAAGAAACGGGAACAACCTATATGTCCACTGATGAATGAAGAAAATGTGGTGTGTATGTGTATGATACATATATCAACATATTATCATATATACGGATATACATGCTCATTTTTAATTTAAATTTTCTACATATGAATATATATCATATATATTCATATATATTCACATATACATATATATATGAATATTATTGGGCCGTGAGAGAGAGGGAAATCCTGCAATTTGTGACAACATGGATGAGCCCTGAGGGCATTATGCTAAGTGAGATGAGTCAGAGAAAGACAAATAATGTATGGCATCACTTATATGTGGAATCTAAAAAGGCTAAACGAGTAAAAATAGGGGCTAGAGAGGGGGAGAATTGGGGAGATGTTTAAGGGTACACACTTGCAACTAGTAGATGAATAAGTCTTGGAGAGCTAATGCACAGCACAGTAATTACAGTCAACAGTACTTTATTATAAACTTCAAAACTGCTAAGAGACAAGATCTTAATTGTACACACCACAGAAAACAAATAATAATTATGTGACGAGATGGAGGTGCTAGCTAACACTATGGTGGTAATCATACTGTAATATATCTATGAATCAAATCCACACACTGTACACCTTAAACTTGCATATTTACATGTCAATTATATCTCAGTTTTAAAAAAGAAAAGTAAATTTTCCCTTACCTACTAATTACCATTAGGAAATACTTCAGCCTCCCTCTCATTTTTAGTTGCTATGAGGATATAACAAACCATTAAGGACTAAACCATGTACAATGTGCTCACAACACATCCCCTCTCCTTCCTACCCTGTTCTCTTCCTTTCCCACTCGCCCTTGTACCTTAGGTAACCCTACCAACCATTCAAGACCTGCTGACTGACCCGTGCAGCCATCCAAGAATCTCCAGAGACTTGGTGCTAAGCCACCTGAATTTTATTCACAAATCAAAAGGAATTCAAAAAGGTCAATTTGTTTAATTTTCCTAAATGACAACTCTATCCCAGGCCAGTGATACGGGCAACTTCAGGGCCTGTGATCCTTTTAGATTCAGAGCCAAGAGGAAACACCAATGGTCGGTCACTCCTGGAGCCACTGTAAGCAGTGGACGAGAGGTTTCCTGTCCCACATCTGTTTCACTCCTTGCCTACTGAAAAACGGCACTGCTGTTTGCTGACCTGTCAGCGCAGGAGAGGGCCTGACTGATCAAGGGATAATCCCAAGTGACTGATTCAGGAACGGCCATGTGACCCAATTTGGAACTATGAAGAGGTTGGTCAAGGTTTCTCTCCGACACATGCAGCCAAATTCAGATTCCACCAGTGCTCTGCAAATGAAAAGATGCACGTAATCTCTTAAGAAGGGTTTTGAGGGAATAAACCATCTCAAGCTGGAGATATACAAGGAAGCAACCACTTCCTGTTACAGCTGCATCCTACAATCCAACCACAAAGATATAAAAGCCGCAGATAAAAACTAACACACAAAGGAGGGCACAGCCGAGAGACTTATGGAGAAACAAAGCCTAAACAATGCCCAGCCTGCCTCCTGAATTCTGTTCTAAATGAGTAATATTCCTCAGTATTACACTGGTACTGTTTCTATAATCAGAAAAATATATATACTTGAAATATTAGTAAGAAAAAAACAAAACAAATAAATACAGGCCATGCTGGATGAGAGCTTATCCCTGAAACACTAGACAATTCTCCCTACAGTCTTTTGCTGCATATTGCTACATAGCCTCCTTCTCATATTATGCAATATTTTTTATTAAAATTGAGTCTGTGCTGCCCGGCCACTCTGGCTCGACTGGTTGAGCGTTGTCCTATGCACCAAAATGTCACAGGTTTGATTCCTGGTCAGTGTACATACCCTGGTTGCAGGCTTGATCTCCAGTAGGGGTGGGCAGGAGGCAGTCCATCAATGTTTCTCTCTCCCTCTCCCTTCCTTTCTCTCTAAAAAATCAATAAAAATATTTTTTTTTTAAATTGTTTGAGTCTGTGTTCTTTAGAAAATGCTCAGGTACTCTAATCACAAGAAGGGTATAATCAGGATCAGAAACATAGACTGGACAGGGGATTAAGGGAGGGGAGACTGCCAAGTTTCGGAGCCTTTCCAACTTCCCTCCACCAAGCTGTTTTTAAAAAATCAATTATCATCGCAGTAATACAATGAACAGTTTTAAAGTCCTGATAGCCTGGCCAGCGTGGCTCAGCGGTTGAGCATCGACCTAGAATCCAGGAGATCGCGGTTCAATTCCTGGTCAGGGCACATGCCCAGGTTGCGGGCTCGATCCCCAGCGTGGGGCGTGCAGGAGGCAGCCAATCAATGACTCATCATTGATGTTTCTATCTCTCTCTCTCTCCCTTTTCCCTTCCTCTCTCTGAAATCAATAAAGATGTATTTTTTTTAAAAAAAAGTCATGACAATATTCTCATCCTGGACAAGGTGATCTCTTCAGACAAGGGAAAATGTGTCACCACACTCCACTAAGAGAATTGTTTATTATTTTTGGTATCAGAATTGTCTTAATAAAGCCAACCCCTTCTCCATTATTGCTCAGTTTGTACAGAAAATTAGAGCTGATAATGTTAGTTGACATGCAGCCCAGAAGTTTCCAAGAACTAACGTAGGACTATTAGGGGAATTTGATAACATTCCTTCCGCCTCTAACATTAATGATATGAAACTCTGACCTACCCTCTCAAGTTTTTCTTTCTCCCTTTTCCTACCGTTTTACCTACCCTAGATCTACACAACTATCTTGTTTTCTACTCTTATACCACGGCTGTTGAATGTGGTAAAAGAAAAACACACACTCGAAGAACCGATGAAGGCGAGTTCCATGCACACTTATGGTCTCGAAATGTATTGCCCCTGTCATCCTGGAGGGTCAGCTCCATTTCCCAGCCCCTTTCTTTCAAGCCCTGTACACAAACCTCCTGGGCTCCAGCCTCCTTCCACCTTCTACCTCCTCTACAGGAAAGAACTCCCTCAATGTCCTACCCTCCAGTAGCAAATGTATCTACACTGCCAACCATCACGCCATCTTTCCTTCTTAGGTCAGAGGAAGGAGCATGACTCCTCCTCTGTAATAAATAATAAAATAACAACACTCACGATGCACCCTTCACCCTACATACAGTTGCATGATCCATTTGTGCTCTAGATCCCACCCTCTCCTCCTCCCCTTGGTCCACTAATTCTTCACCTCTCCAGCTTCTCTGTTATCTCCTTCCCCTCAAAATCAAGTCCCTCAGACTTCCACTTCCAGCCAAGATAGAGAAACAGTGACATTTACCTCTCCACCTGAAACAACTTTTTTTAAAGAACCAAAATATATTCAACGATGGTTTTCCAGACACTGCACATACGATAACAAAAGACAATGATGCCTGAAAGGAAAGAAGCAGGTGGTAACTGTAACTGCCCTTTGCCTACAGCCTTGAGAGCATTTCCAAGCTGCCGCATAGGTAGGCGAACCCAGGTGCAGCCTGGTGAACTACTTCAGTTGAGGCGATGGAGCTGAGCATCTTAAAAGACCAAGCTGATCAGAACCCACAGGCAGCACACAGGAGGAGAGGGCTGCAGAGAGAGCGCTCCGGAGGTCTCCAGAGCGTCCCACCCGAGCACTCAGGGGAGTACTTGGGCCGCAGCCCAAGCTCGGCTGCCTGCCGCCACAAAAACCAAACGTGTGAGACAGATGCTGGTAACGAAGGAAGTGGTTTTATTCAAGTGCCAGTCACCTGAGGAGATGCGGACTCCTGTCACAAAGCCTATCTCAACATCTCAGTGCAGGCAGAGGTTTTTATAAAGGAGGGAGAGGCAAAGCAGAACAAAAAGATCAAGGGGAGGGTGTGGAAAAGTTCTCTACGTGCAGACCAGCACAGTCCATTCCAATAAGGACCTCGAAACTGGTCAAGTGATGGTCTAAGTGCGTGTCCTCCTGGTCTTTGTCATGCTGGTTCAACGTGTGAAGGTCAGCAAATCTCCTGGAACTTGGATGTCTGAAGGTCGGAGTCTGCAGCTTCAGTAAGTTAGTTCCTAGGATTCTTATACAAACATGCTGTTTATCTACAAGCTACATTTTAGTCAGAGAGCATTTACAGAAACAATGTCAAAAGAACGGTGGGGTGGGTTACAATTCCCTCTGTTACATAATGAAACTACTAGAAGCTGGGGAAAGGCCACCTGAGAGCCTGAAAGAGAACAATAACCTGAGCTCCCACGGGGCTGGGATGTTTGGGGGACACAAACATTCAGTCCACAGCAAAACCCAATAAACAAAGAAATACCATAAGTAAGTTAGACCTATAAGTTGTGAGCTACCACAAGCCAACAAAATTAAAAGGACAGCACCATTTTATATAGAAACTACTCCAAACATTTTGGTGATGTAGGGGTTCATGCAGGCGGTGGCAGATGTAGGGGGAGGGGAATCCTAAGTACCTTCTTAGTGCCAGGCACTAGTCAGGATTCAGTAAGACAAGGGCCATGCCTGTTACTGCCATACAGTAATCTTCAAAACAGACTCATCACCAACTACCTCCCTGAAATACTCCTTTAGCTTTTTGCCAGGAGTCAGCTAAAAGGGCGCCTCCTTGAAAAGGCATTCATTCCTTCATCACTCTTAAGCTACTCCGGAGTAGTAGTCCGCTTTCCTTTCTTTATATACTACTTTTCACAATTTCTAATTATCCTTTATTACCATATGATTATAATTACTTAGTACTATTATTTTCTCACATGCATTATGTAGAATATGAGCTCCATAAATGAAGAAATCATGTCTGTTGTCCTCACCACTGTACCCTTGGTGACTAGCAGAGTTTATAACCATTGTAGGCTCTCAAATAATTAATATAACCAAGAACTGACACCAGGATGAGTTTCCTGATGATCGACATTTCCCAAGGTTGTTAGCCCCAAATCCTGCAATTTGGTTCCCTTAGTTATGAAAGAGCATACTGAGCACTCACCTCTACCTGAGTAACATTCACGATCAGCACCACTACCATCAACACTGCAAGCAGACAGCAGAAAAGACGCAGCTTAAAGAAACTGAACCACATTATCTGGCTGTGTCTTGATCACCCATGGCTGACGCCATGCTACCTTCATGCCTCAAAACTCCATGTCTTTGTTTTTCTGAGCTGCAGATGAGCTTTCAGTTTCACGTGTTTCTTTTCTGCTAGCATCCTTAAGAGTTCTTAGGATAATGGAGAAGCTGGGATTGATCTAAGCAGCACATTTTTCTTCAAAGGACTCCTGCAAAGAGAGATCAGAAAACACATCACCAACTGTAACAGTCTGGGACGGGGTAAGAGGAAGGATACATTTCCTCTTCTTTAACCTCACTGAAGGCCCAAAGTCACACGGAGAAAGCAAACAGCCAGAGCAAAGTAACATCTATTCCACATCCGAACAATTTATTGAAATCCAACCCCAGCCCTACTATCTATTTAGGTTTTAACTTCTAAGAGAGCAAAGAAGAATGTTTTTAAACTCTTAGAAATGGCAAAGTTAAAGTAACTTAATTTTCTACAGAAGTCTAAGTAAACAAAATCACTTCAATTCCATTATAGTTCAAGTTATATAACATTGCAGTAATTATATTTAAAGAGGAAACATTGTGGTTTTAGGCAGGGTTCTGGAATACTGTGCAAACCATCCTGACATACTCTGAAAAACAAAGAGTGCTTTCCCTCTGTATGGCAGAAGTCAGGAAACACCCTTTGGGTCTCCAGCTCCCCCAACACATATGTGATCCCGATGCTCCCTCAGCTGGGTAACAAGGCACAGGAGGAAAGACACCTGCTCTGAAGATGTAGGAGAGAAAAGCAAAGCTCGAGGAGAGAGTAACAGGAAACCCAACTCCTTCCTCATATCCGCTACAGGCAGAGGACTTCAGAGTCTGCTGCTCCTGTTCCCCCATGTAATGAATGCAAAATGTTCTCCCCAGCCGCTATTTTGATATAGGTAAGCAGAGAAAGTGCTAGCATTTTATTCCCGGCGAGGCTTTCCACGGAGGGAGGGAGGAAAAGGTGAAGATTCAGGGTGCAGATCTCGGAACACCTTAGCTTTGTGTTGGGGCTGTAAGCTCCCTATTCCCTCGCTCATCTACTCCCCCTGCCTAATTCATTCCCATGCCACAAGGACCATGACAACCCTTCGTCACCCCCGCTTCATAAAGGAGACAAGGCTAAGCCACTGCAACGAACTCTCCATCCTCAAAATTCCCACAGACCTTACTATTCTCACTTCTCAGCTGATCTCTGTAATTGTATTTCTTGTTTCCCCAATTAGACTACACCATCTATGGCTATATTTTTTTAAAAAAGAAACAAAAACCATACATCATAAAAAAACAACGTAATGATAATCTATCATACTTCTTGCCTCTCAAAGTACTTAGTTCTTTGCATGATATAAGCTGATTCAACATTCCACACAACAAATAATTAGGGAGGCCTACTCTGTACCGCACACTGCACTAAGTGCCAGAAATTCCCCTGGAAAAGCTTATACTTGTATTAGGCCAGAGGCGGTTCCCCTCCTAAATTAAAGAGGAATAAATCCACCCCTCTGCCCACTTCCACAGAGATGCCAGCTACTGTGAAAGGCTGCACTTAACCATTTCCTGACCCCCAACACTGCCCATTCCAACACCCAGGCACCCACCCACCCCAAAGTGCCTCTAAATTCTGGAAAGGAAATGGCCATGAAACAGAGGAATAAACTGTTACCAGGGCTCAAACTGCTCCTCTGCAGAAATCCCTCTCAAGGAGTTGGCCATAAGAATCAGGTTTCCCTGACGGCCAGAGAGGGAGGCGCCCAGAGATGAGACCCCACAGGAGTCAGCTGCACGTGACAGGCATGGCCTACACGCTGCAGGAACACCATCAGTTTAGAGAATGTGAGCGAGGTTCGGCGCCAGCCGGCAGCAGCACAGCAGTGCTCAGTGGTGCAGAAGAATGGCAGGGGCCGCAGGCTCCAGAGCTAAAGGAGCTGCAGAGAAACAGGCAGAAATGCAAATATGCAAAAAGCCCTTTGGGGCCAGAGACTTCTACCGAACATCGTTGTGGAGGATCATGTCAGGAAAAGACCTCACTTCCTGCTACCAGCACGCAGAGCATGAAGACAGGAGAGACCGTTTGTATATCTAACTAAATGTAGCCTGAGGAACACCAAACAGACCTCTCTTTGAACACACATATACTAAAATGTTGCCAGTTGTCACACTTGGGCAGTTTTCACTTTTCTCCTTCACCTTTTATTTTATGTCCTAATTTTTCACCAGAAAATAAATATCACAAATATTAAGAATACAAACATCACATGATCTCATTTATATGTGGAATCTAAAGAACTTAATAAACTGATGAACAGAATAGATTCAATGACATGGAAGCACAGATCAGGCTGATGAATGTAAGAGGGAGGGAGGAGGNTCTCACTTATATGTGGAATCTAAAGGACTTAGTAAACTGATGAACATAAATGATTCAATGACATGGAAGCATGGATCAGACTGACGAATGTCAGAGGGATGGACGAGGGTGGGCGGGTGGAGGGGGAGAGATTAACCAAAGAACTATATGCATATATGCACAACCCAAGGACATGGAAAATGGTGTGGAGAGGGACTGGGGAGGGGTTGGGATGGGGTGGAAAGGGTCACTGGGGAGAAAAAGGGACATCTGTAATATTTTAAACAAAAATAAAATTTTAAAAGAAGAAAAAAAAGAATAAAGCTAATTTCTAAAAGTAATAGCTAAAGATAAGACAGAAGGAAAAACAAGGCATTAAATACGATATGGGAAAACAATTCAATTTTAAATGAAAGGCTTAAAACAAAGGCTAGAATAAGAGACAAAGAAGGACATCACATAATGATAAAGGGATCAACCCAGCAAGTGGCTACAACCCTTGTAAACCTTTATGCACCCAACATAGGAGCATCTAAATATATAAAGCAAATCTTGATGGACATAAAGAAACAGATCGACAGTAGCACAGTCATAGTAGGAAACTTTAACACCCCACTGACATCAATGGATATATCTTCCAGAGAGAAAACAAAAAAGGAAACACCAGCCTTAAGTTATACACTAGACCAGATTAATCTAATTGACGTATTCAGAGCATTTCACCCCAAAGCAGCCAAGTACACGTTCTTTTCAAGTGCACATGGAACATTTTCTAGGATAGACCACATGTTAGGACACAAAACTAATCTCAAGAAATTTAAGAAAACTGAAATCATATCAAGCATTGTCTCTGACCACAATAGTATGAAACTAGAAATCAATTACAAGAAAAAAAACCTGAAAAAAACACACACAAACATATGGAGGCTAAATAACATGTTACTAGCTCAACTGGATTTTGCTCAGTGGTTAGAGTGTCAGCCAGGGACTGAAGGGTCTTGGGTTCGATTCCAGTCAAGGGCACGTATCTTGGTTGCATGCTTGATCACTGCCCCCCCCTCCCCCCCCC